TGAGATCAGGCTTGTGTGGGTTTAGACTGGGCTGTAAGTTCCTCTTGAACAATCAATGTAGCTCAGTCCTGACTTGGCCAAAGCATCCAGCTCTGGCATCAGTTAAATATTTACATTCCCCCCTTTTTATATAAATTGTGCTCTATTAGCATATGTTTCACAGTGTATCCTTGTGTTTCAGCCTCTTTATAAATTTGGCAGTTTGTACATTAATCAACATCAACCCATGTAAAATGCTAGGCATGAGGCTGAAGCCGTCAAACGGGCAACATTTACTGTTCCATCATACGCAGCCAATAAGTCATGTTGCAATGTATGCCTTGTACCAAGAGGATATGGTATAAAATGGAGCGTGTTTACACTGGGGAGACTTCTGTGTATTTAAGAAGTAATTGTTTCAGGACCGTTCATTAATTCATGAGCTGACATGGGTACGTTTTTCCTCACTGCAACAAAAATAATTAGCGAGCTCAAAAAATAGTAATGAATTTGCACATGGCAGACTTCTACTGTAATTTTCTTCGCAAGTTATAAGGGTCTAATTGTAGATTGCTAGTAGCCTTATCCATTTCAATAATTTCTGGCCCTCAAGTGCCGAGGTGCAAGGAGTTACGGTGTGCTGCGATTTATGGGGGATGTAAATGATTTCTTGTTTGCCCTCCCTGTACTTGGCTGGGTTTGCCGCCTTTAAAGCTTTTGTGGGTGAATTTAGTGCAGTGGCACTGATGGAAGCCAGGGACAAGGAAGCAGGTGCAATGCAAAGCCCTGTCCAGGCACTTCATCCGTCGTCTGCAAACACTTCTGTCCCAGCCCTGCGCTTGTGGGTGCTGCTCAGTCCTCTGTTTTGCGAGAGAAATAAATGGGAACCTGTGGGAAGGCTGTGTCAGTAGAGGGGCAGGCCCCCAAAATGCTTGTGTGGGGCATGGGTGCCTTCAGGGAAGCAAGCTTCCGTAGGAGGCGCGGGCTGGGGGGTACAGGTCGCTCAGAGTCGCAAGGACCTTTCAGCTTTGCGAGAGAGCCTTTTCTCTCTGCTTGGAGGAATCTCGCTGCTCTCTAGACTGAGGACCTTTTTGGGGGTGTTGTTAGGGAAGCCCCCATCTGAGGCAGCTCAGATGTTACCACTACAGTGTTCCCCCCCGAAAGTGCTTAACAGAGGACGGTGCCTCCTCGCGTTCCTCCCTGGATCCTTCCTCACCATTCCTGGTGTTGAAACGTCTTCACCTAACAGTGCCTCCAGACATCTTTCTCTGCGTCCTTGCCCTCTTGATACTGTGGTGGGTTTTTGTGACTCCGCTGTTTCTTGCCGCGTCCTCTTGCCCCAGACCAGCCACCCAATAATCTCTTGATGCTGCTGTTAGATTTTTGCCGTTCTTCTGTTGCAGTCATTCAGTTTGCTGTGTGCGGTTCCCACTTCCACTTTCTCTTCTGTCTTTCCACCAGTCTGAGGTACTCAGAAGAGAATAGCTTAGGGCATGGAAAAAAATCCAGTATTATCTCAGGTAGCTTGGAGAGATGGGATATTTGTATTTATTACGCAAATTCTTCCGCCTTTGTAGGTCTGCGTGACAAACAGCTGTGCTGTGCTCCCTTCCAGGGTTCCAACTACTGAAGAACAACCAGACTCTCTGAGTCTCTCTGTCCAATAAAACCTGCCTTTATGGGCAAGAAAATGGTGTGTTCCTCCAACACCTTGCTTCCACATACCTTGTGTTTCAGATTGTACAGAGTATAAATAGTTCTTCCTAGAAAAAGCACTGAGGGATGTTCAGAGGCTGCCAGCTTTAGCGAGATGGACATGTTCCTCCTGGATCCTTGTCTCGGCACTGCCAGCAGAGTCAGGACAGTTCAAGGTACCAGTCACTTGTCTACAAAGTGCTTTTGCTTCACGTGAACTTGGTAGCCCAACCTTTATTTTTTTCTCTAGATTTGCCCCTGCTTCATTGGCAGCAGAGGTGGAGGTCCCGTGAGTTTGTGCAGTGCGGGGTCGTGCCCGGTCCACCCGAGCCATGGCGTTCCCAGGAACACCGGGCAGAGCGTTTGCTGTGCGGGGCTCACGCGCCTGAGGCTCGCGTCTGGTCGACGTGCGTTGAAGTGCCATTGTAGCCACATTTCTGCAGTTCGTAAGCACAAAGGCTCAACTGTGAGCTATGAAACGCTGGCGTTCGGCCAACTGCCCATTTCTTTTCTTCAATCCCTGTCATTAAAGCTGTGGGTTGCTCCAGGGTGTAGTGTTTTGCTCTTCTTAAGTGGAACTGTTAACGACCCAATTTAGAGCAATGTAAAGTGCACCCAGATTCCACAGTGACTTCTAAATCCGTATAACATTAATGATAATCTGTAATTAATAGCTGCAATCAAAAGGAATTGTAGTTCAGTAATTAGAAATTTAGGATTAAAGTATTAGCATATAAAAAAGGCCTCTTAACAACCTCTTCTTCCAAGATCCCGTGGAAGAAAACAGATTTTAACTGATACGACCTTCACCGAAGACCAAGTTACGAAAAATATTGCAGTCAGCCCTGACTTGTGTAGTCATTAGACTACTGCCAGAACATTCAAAGGTTCTTTAAGAGTTTGCAGGTATTCAGTGTGTAGAAATCACGTAATTTTCTGATGATATTGCCTGTTGATATTCCAGAGCACATCTTCAGAACGATGTGTTTGAGAATAAGCTATAATGCCCCCAGGAGGTCTTTTGGGGTGCGTATTGCTGGTGTCCTGTACGTACAGGAAACCCCAGTGACTGCCCACCCTTGAGCCAAAAGCTTCCCTGGTGTATCCTCATGAAAGAGAGCAGATCTGCAAGAAGAGGGAAGGCAGAGGTGTCAGGTGCACGCAGCGCTCTTGGCTTCCTGCCCTGTAATCAGAAACAGGGCACCAGGATTCTTTCTGATGATGCATCGTAAATGGGCTGATCCTCCAATTTATCTGCAGCCCTCGGGAGCTCGAGGCGCTTCGAAAGACTCCCAGGTAGAGAGGCCGTTGGTTGCGTACGTGCTAATGAAAGTGCCAGTAGCAGTGATGAGGTGCTCAGATAGATGGCATAGGCTGTGGTGTAGATGAAGTTCCTAACAGTTTCCAGTCCTGCACTAAATTAAATCATCCTGCTGCACGGCTCACTTTTGAAGCTGAAAATTAACGTATTGTATGTTTGAAATCCACAGAACTCAAAGTGTTCGTTGGTGTTGAAAATTTCCCTATCGAATGCCAATTATTAACCTACCCCAGGCTATCAGTAATGATATACTACAGATAAATAACAAGTAGATATGCGTGAAAGTATTACGTTCTAACAGTGTGAGGAAAATTAACCATTTGAAAGTTACCAGCATCATGCAATGTCATCTCTGCCCCATCTGTGTGGAGTGGCCTGGAGAGCTCCAGCGGGTCCTTTGCCAGCAGAAAGCGCGGTTTCCGACCCAGCGCTGGCAGCAGTTGTGAACTCTGCCGGAATCGCCTGGTGAACTCTGCCTCTCGGATCTGCCTGCGCGAGGTTTTGGCAGAACCAGCTTCGCCTTTGCTTTTTCAGCCATCGAGTAACCAGGTGGAGTAAAGCTAACTAGTTAACGTAGAGCATTTGAAGGAGAAAGGCCATCGTGCAGCAGTTCATCGTGCTTACCAAACAGGTCCTTAGTTAAGGTCTGTTCTCCGGCAGTTTTTATTGCGCGCATTTTGTAGGCTCTTCTCTTTCAAAATATTCAAAATGACAGTACAAAGGCCAACACCTTCACCCGAACATGCAAGGTTGAGTCTTTTTGCGGGAACATGTTTGTGACGTGGGCTGTGTTTGCTGTAGGCTATGTATACACTATATTTTTTACACATCGTTGTGTAATGGCATCCTGGGGTGCATTAGGAGGAGTGTGGCCAGTAGGTCAAGGGAGGTTCTCCTTCCCCTCTACACTGCCCTAGTGAGGCCTCATCTGGAGTACTGTGTCCAGTTCTGGGCTCCCCAGTTCAAGAAAGATGAAGAGCTACTGGAGAGAGTCCAGCGGAGGGCTACGAGGAAGAGGAGAGGACTGGAGCATCTCTCCTACGAGGAGAGGCTGAGGGAGCTGGGCTTGTTCAGCCTGGAGAAGAGAAGGCTGCGAGGGGACCTAATAAATGTTTATAAATATCTCAAGGGTGGGTGTCAGGAGGATGGGGCCAGACTCTTTCCAGTGGTGCCCAGCAACAGGACAAGGGACAACGGGCACAAACTGAAGCAGGGGAAGTTCCATCTGAACATGAGGAACAACTTCTTCCCTCTGAGGGTGACGGAGCCCTGGCCCAGGCTGCCCAGGGAGGTTGTGGAGTCTCCTTCTCTGGAGATATTCAAGACTCGCCAGGACAAGGTCCTGTGCAGCCTGCTCTGGGTGACCCTGCTTGGGCAGGGTGTTGGGCTGGGTGACCCACCGAGGTCCCTGCCAACCCCGACCATTCTGTGATTCTGTGTAGATGCTATGGAATTGCTATAGTCATAACTAATGAATGAAAGGCTTGCCGTTGCCCTGTGGTGTTGCATACGATTAAAGGCAGTACGTTCTCCCCGAGAGACACCTGCCTGACTTGAAGAGCAGAAATGCTCTCAACAATTTCCTGTCTTCCTGCAGTTTTGCCTCATTCAGCTGATTGAAGTATTTATGATTTCCGCCTGCTTTTGAAACACAAGAACTGTATAATGCAGACATGTCTGCTGACACGCAGAGATACTGATGTCATGAAAAGAAAATCCTTTCACACATTAAAGGTAGAAGCAAAATTTGAGGCCTAGATTATGGAAATTTCCGGCCTGTGCCTGTGTCTTTACACAGACAAGAAAATTAGTAAATGATAGGCCATATCCATTACAGTCTGCAGAAAGTATGTCTAGATTTCCTTCAGCACCTCCTGGGTGGGCTGTGGGCAGGTTGGTAACTGGCTGGTGGCAAGCCGTGGTATCTGGGGAGATCGGATGAAAATGTGTGGGGAACTTACAGAGGATCAGCGAAACAGAAAGCGCAAAAGGCAGAAAAGGGGAGATGAGGGAGAGAGATACGACTGAGAAGAAAAACAGCCGCGAGGCAGATCTGTGGGAAGATCCTGGAAGAGATCAGTCAGGTAGGAACTAGACAGAGAGAAAGATGAAGCGTCGGTCTGGAATGTGCAGAAAAGCAAAAAGTACTGAGCACTTAGTATAATTAGTTTTTTTTCTCGAAGTCTGTATAACTTTATCTATGATTCCTGCTTTCCCAATTAATATTCGAGTAGGACAGTGAAGGAGTCTGTTCTCTGGAGATTTTTATTCCCCCCTTGAAGGGGCGCCGGTGTTTCTGGTAGATCTATGTTATAAAATGTTCATCGGTGATTTGGCCAAAATAGTTGTGCCCGACTCTGCTGTGAAGTTATCCTGCCTTGACCCTCCTGACAGCGTGGGACAGTGCCCAGTTGGTATCTGTACTCGTGTCTTGCCCAATCTTGTTTTTAGTGTCTCCTGAAATTGGGGTTTTATCACTTCCTTAGGCAGATTCCGTCATAGGATAACAAATCTCACTTGGGGTAGGCTTTCTACGCCGTTTCAGAAAGAAATTCGCATGTGGAAAACTTCTTTTTTTTGTTTAGTTTAAACATTCATTTTAGAAGTTTATCTTAATACTCGGCTTCTTGGTTGCTCTAAATACCTCCTCGGTCTTTTTGCTGTTTTGGGTGTTCTGCAGTGAGATCTGAATTACTTATGTTGCAGTCACATTCATATCTGTATCAGAAAAGCTTGCTTGCTCCTGATTATATCTATAATTATATAATTAGGTTCTATAATTAGGGTATGGAATGACCCGCTGGTGTGATGTAAAGTAAGACGGCGGATGCCCATTAAGAAGACACTTTTAATTTTTTGTTTGCGTGTTTGTGCCAGACAAGTCTTCCGCCTTAAAAAGATGTGTTCCTGCAAGACCTGGGATTTCCAGCTCTGCACTCTTCTACGGGACACGTACACCCTACGCTTAGCGGCCGTACGGACCTCGTGCGTTGCTCGTAGAGCCTCGCAGGCAGAGCAGCCACATTCTTAGACTTCCTTTGCTCTCTGCTTTGTTTCTCTGTAGCAGATTTATTCCCCATTAAAATCTTCAATCATTTCTGGGTTCGATGTCATCTTGGTTATCTGCCTTCTTCCTGTTTTGACTTATATTCTCTTTACTTCTCGTTACAAAAGCATCACACAGAGATATTAATTGGCCCGGGCAGGGGGCCTGGATCTTCTCCTCTTCGGTTCCGTGGCCAGGGGACGGGGCTGCCCCGTCCGTTTGACGGTCTGGAGCCCTGACAGTACAAACACTGGAGCACTGAGTAATGGTTGCTTCTGGTGAGAAAATGAGACAGTAGTGTGTGCCTGTGATAAGAACTAGCTCTGTAGTTTTTCTTCAGAGGCAGATTTTTGTAAACCTTATTGAAGTTTATTTAATCACAAAGGCTTTAGAAGGACTGACTTGTGTGAAATTCACTCTACGCTTATGCAATATGGTAATAAAATCCGACGTTAGCCAACTTCTCTGTGGGGAGTGTATTTGAATACGCTTTACTTGGCTTTTCACAGGGCTTATAATTGACTGTTGTGATTTCTCATTAACTTAAGACCAGCGTTTCTTAATAGTGATAGAGATTTGAACAGATACTTATCTTTCTGGTGTTAAGGGTAAGATTCGTCATTCACCTGGAATGATCTCATCTGGAAATAAAATCTTAACGGGATAATGGTTCTCTCTGTGGATCGCATTTCTCAGGTTGACTTTTGTTCAAAACAAATCTTACTGCTCAAATAGTTAAAGCAAGGCATACGAGGGCATTTTTAACAAGTAAGGATTAATTTTTAAACACCTCATTTGAAATCCAGTGGCAATATTAAGGTGATTTTTTTCTTTTCTCTTTTTTTAAATGGTGAGAGCAAACGGGCAAGCCTCTTTCAGTGCCCCAAATTTAAGTCGCTGTGTGTAAATCCTGTGTATGGGATTTACAGAATCCTGCATAGGGGAGCAGTTGGTCAGTGGGAGTTTAAAGGTCGGGTGTGTGAGTGAAGCCAGTGGACAGTCCTTGATGAGCGGAGTGATGGATGCTGAGCGGTGCTCCCTGGTCTTCTCCGGGCCACGGGTGGAATAGCTGTAGGCTTCTTGCATTCAATGTCACCTTCTTGGTGCTCCAGCTCTTTAACTCGCTAGCACACGGTGAGTCCCAAATGGGAAAGAAGTCCGACTCATGCCCAGGCTGTTTTTTAAAACCCATTTTGCTCCCAGAGGCAGTGACTGAGCGAGGCAGATCGAGCAGGAGTGGGAGGTGAGTTTGGTTCCAGGGGAGGAACGAGTTTGCTCAGACAAGGCTTTGATCATTCTCCCATCCTTGACTCATCTCTCTCCACGGGCTGACTGGGAGCTCACCTTCCAACAGAGCAGGCTTTCGGATTTGGCCTGAAGGTAATAACATAGGTTTTCCAAGGAGAGGTATCGCTGCTCTCACTTGCGCACACAGCAATCCTAAGTCATTGCAGTTAAAAATTAAATCCATGCATGTCTTGTGGACTTCTCCTCTGGGATACTTTTGTTTTCTGCATTAACTTTGAATCAAAGGTATGTTCCCAAGCTGTGTAACTACTCTGCATATTCCTTTCAGTCCAATAAAATGTTTACTAAGGGTACAGTAATATGTTGCTCTCAAATTGGAGCTTTAATTCAGGAATATCAGAAAATTATGAGTTACCAGCCTGGAAAACTATCTCAGTCATAGTAAAGTTTGGTCTTCTGGTGGGGTTTCTTCTGTAGATCAGGTGATGGATGTCTGCTTTGTGAGATTTACGGTCCTGTTTTCAAAGCCTGCTTAAGAAAACATTAATATGATCACTCTGGAGTTTGAAATAGCAAAATATTATATTTGATCATAGTATTATTAGTACTTGTTCTTTCATTTTGTTTAATGTGTGTTTGAATATGGTTTATTTGTGGCGTCTTAATAGTAGACTATTTCCAGGTGAACAAAAGTAATATTACCTGCAGAAAATACGTTGTCAAATGCAAAGCTTGAATGTGTGAGCAGTGTGAATGATGTAACCTATTGCCCGAGGGTTTGAGCAGGGCGCTGGGGCCGTAAGAGACGAACCTGTTTGGTCTCAACAGGAGGTGTGAGAGGCAACGGCACCTCAGGTCCCTCCCTCGGAGGGGTTTCCTCCCAGGTCTACAGGAGCTGCTGCGTTTGTTGGGTAGGAGGGTTGGAAAGGCAAGGCCCTGGGGAGGCGGAGGAGTTGGAGCCTCCCAGCCTTTGGTACCAGCCTGACACTGACCAAGTCCTGGCCAGCTTTTGCCCTCTGGTTGTTTGTCACCTACCCCACATCTCAGCTTTAGCTTCAGAGCAAACCCACCGACCCCAATGTCGGCTGCTTGCAAGGTCGTGGTCACCATGCAGGTGGTATTAGCACTGGATCTGTTTTGTTCTCCTTAAACCTTGCAGGTCTTTCGACCACGTGGTCCCTAACGTTTGGGTTAGGTAAGAAGCTCAACTGTTAAAAAATAAAAACCGAAGAGGGGTGGATACAGTGGGCCGAAATCTCAGCTTGTCTAAACAGGGGTCTTTGCTGACTGCAGAGCAATGCCACTTTACATGGGCTCAGGATCTGTCCCCAGCAGCGGGTCTCTGCCCTGCATATCTGCGCAGGCCAGGGGCCGTGTTTGTAGGTGAGTTATAATGCCTTCAAATTCCGTGTTTACATTGGAAATGCTTGACAGAGTCTTAAATAAGCACTGCTACCAGGTGGGCTTTTAAGAAAGACGATATTTATAAGAAGTGTAGTGGCTGTATCTGAACTTAACAGCTTCGTGCGTGTGTATGACTTTATGTTTACAATTTTCTCATGATGTTTTTACTGAAATAGAATAGTTGCTAACTGGTCAAAGAAACGCAGAACATTTTGCATATCATTGCACTGCCACAGTTTTACGAGTGAAGTTGCTTTGTGGTTAAAAGATGTCTGGGAACAAGCTACAGGGATGGTGTCAGAATAAAACCAGTACACTTCAAAATATTCCTGTTCTCATCTGGGATCTCGCTGATGCTCAGCATCCCGGCTCTGCCCTCGCTGTGCACCTCTGGGGCGGCGTGGAATCACCCGGCACCGGGGGTCCAGTGAGTTGCAGGATCGGGCCACAGCTGTTAATTTGTAGTCAGTCTTTTTAGCATCTCGCTCAGGTTGGGTGCTGACACATGGAGCTTTCTGTCACTCCTGCTTTCGATGCCATAGTGCTCCTGTCCAGCATCGCTTTCCTCCTTCTCAAGGCCAGGTTTCCTGGGGCTGGGTGGACACAGGGAATTAGGAGGTGCACTGCATTTCCGCGCCGTGTAGCGCGTGTGCACACCCCTGCGTCCCCGCCTTCCCACCATCCCTCACTAAATCTCATAGAAGCATAGAATCATAGAATGGTTTGGGTTGGAAGCAACCTTAAAGATCATCTGGTTCCAGCCCCCTTGCCATGAGCAGGGACATCTCCCACCAGACCCGGTTGCTCAGAGCTCCATCCAACCTGGCCTTGAACACTAATCCCTGGGGGTTGGCTCCAAAAGCTGTCCTTCCTGGATGCCTGAAGAGCCTCACAAGGCGCATGCTGTTACAAGGGGACAGAAGTTCCCCCCGCAGCAGGTGACGATGGGTTTATGCTGCTGAACATGGTTCTGCAAAGACCTGGGGGGGCCAGCAAACATCTCGTCATGGATACTGCACCCGGCCACCGTGGCCCGTTGGGATGTGGCAAGTGCCACGACAGCAGTTACACACCAGAGTCCTTACATGGGTGTTGGATGAAATCATTGATGTTCAGACGCGGGGAGGTGTTTTACCGTCGCCTATAGCTGGGGCTGGAGCTGTGCTGGCAGTTCCCTTAACACCATCCACCGTACAACTTACTGTTGGCATGTTAAATAAAAGGTAAACATACAAATGAAGCCGAAGGTCACCATTCAACTTTTTCTTGAAAAGGAAAAAAAGCATCATAGCAATGCGAAAATGCTACTGGTGATCAGAACAGTCTTTCCAGCCCGTGTTTACATGGCTCGTAGGAGGATTTTTCATACAAGTCGCCCTGTTAACTTCAGTGCATAAACTGTGTCTCTTCTTGTGCACATGGGTTTGCAGGATTAAAATCGCTTGTAAATGTTAATGGATAACATGCTCAGCAACCTCATAGCGTTTGTGTTTTTCTTAGCTGTAGTGCTGCGGAGTCATTCTACCTCTATAAAACTTTAGTCCCACTTGTATTTAGGTGGGCTAAATACATCTCCAAGATCGGCTGCGTAATTAACACAAGGTCTCGCAGTGACAGCGTTGCAGAACAAACGCCAGCGCTGGCCCTGTGCCTTTTTCCGCTTCGCTGCTTCTGCTGCCCATATGTCTCAGCCTGCCAACGCAGAGCATCGAGTGCATTTGAATAGCTGCTGCTCTTCAAATAATTTTATTACTGTGACAGCGACTTTATAAATGCCTCTTACTCTCCTGATGATACAGAACCAATATATTAACACCATCTTTTTGTTTTCTCTCTGTTTTTTCCTTCCAGGAGCAAATTCATCAGTTGTGGCCGATTTCATGCCTACATCATCATGGAACATCTCAAGTGAATTAGATAAAGGTAAGTGGACAATAAAAAAATAGAAAGATGTGAAATCAGATGTAAAAATCTCAGTTCTTCTTCTTGACTTGGCCAAGTCAGCAAGCAAAGGGTATGAGGGGCATTGAAGATAAACCTCGTTTGCCTTGTGAACATTTGACCTTTAATTATGTGTGGTTCTGTGATTTCTGGAGAATGCTGTGTTCATTTCTTGTACCAGTAAAATGTTCCACATGGTAAAAGTATTTCAAGATGTGAGTTCTGCTGGTTTATGAACTGCCTGACATTTTCTCTGGTGGATCTCAGGTTTTGAGCTCAAAGTGAAATAGCATCAGGCAGTCGGTTTGCCTCGATGTGTTTTATTATGAAATTTTGAGGCTTTAAATTAATAGAGGGGGAAAATACATTTGCAGGTGGCAGTTATGTCTGATTTGGAGCTTTCCAAAGGATAGATATTGTGAAAAAAGGGATGTATTTCTCATTCCCCTAAATTTTGTAAATGATGCACGACCAATTATTTAAGCCAAATTGCTTAGCGTCCTCTAGCCTTTACGGCAAGGCAGTGGCCTGCAGCTCCTGAGTCAGCCTGGCCTTTGAAATGTTTCTAACGCAGCGTTTGCAGCGGAGGATGCTGTTAGCCACACTAACGGTGCAATTTGCCAGCCGCTCTTTTCGTTTGCTTCGAACTTCGCCAGCCATTAACTATTTAAACTGAAATTTCCCATAGTGGAGTCCTGCCACAGATGGCTCTTCCAAATGTTTTTGTCTGTATTTTGGTAATGTTTTTTGTGAACATATGTTCATAACGTTTTATGTTTAAGCATAAACATGTTTTCTGTGCTGAAGTTTGAAGAGAACATGTAGTTCTGGGTACTTTGAGGCGAGGTTGGCTCTTTCTTGTCTGCCTTCCCACCAGGGACGGAGCAGGAGTTTCTGGTGATCCAGGACATGCTGGAGAAGACAAAAGTCAAAGGGCTTGAGCTTGCTGGTGGGAAATGGAGAAAAGCATGTAGTCATTAAGCAGAGAATTCCCAATTTATAGCAAATTGCTGAAAGAAGGTGTCGACAGAATGGATGCCGTATCCCACTGCAGTGATTCGTCCAGGTGCCATGGCAGGTCCGGAGGCCCGGGCTGTGCACAGGGAACGTCCCGGAGCTGCGGAGAAGTGAGGGCCATGGTTCCCCCAAACAGTGGTTCTTTATGTGTTTGACATCTTTGGTTGATTGTTCCAAAAGTAAGAAATAAATAAGTGGCCTAGAAAAAGTGAACAGCCACAAAGCCAAATGCTCAGAAATTATGAAATGCCAGAGAGAAGGCAGTCGGACAGTCGTAATTCAGGCCTCTTACAATATCCTTGGCAGGCAACCCTTACTAACCCACAGGGTAGGTTTTTCTCTAGGAACCCACCCCATGCTCGCAGGAGGAGACAGTCACACTTTGTTGAAGTGGGGGAAATGTTTTTTGCACATGATCATCAGTGATATATTCTTTGTTCTTCCCTGTGAGCCCAAGGGTTTAATTGGTAAAGCACCGATAGTTTGCTATGTATTGCAGGGAAAGCTGCGTGCCTCCAGCTGAAACCTAGGTGGAGGGCAAGGTATGGAAGAGATATTGAAGATCATGTAATTTTACAGTAGATAGTATTTGATCTGTGCTGAAAAACAGCCCCCAGTAGCTTCTTTGTTGTTCTTCCTAATGGGAGGTTTTGTGTAGACTGGTTTTTTGTGCCCAGGGTGATTTTTAACCCTTATTTTGGTTAGCCTTGCTCTCAGCTGGTAGTTCAAATGCTCCTTTTTTTCAGTACCACGTGCCCTAGGTGAGCACTCTCAAAGCCTTGGTTTCATTGTCATAGCTAGGAGACAGGGAAAGGAGCCTGGTGGCCGCACAGACTGCCTGCCTCCTTCGACGTCTGCTTGCTTCAAAATACTCCCCACACCGGGTCGCGTCGGCCGGGGTTCTGCTATCCCCCCCAGCTGCCAGCGTGCCGGCTCCGTCGGAAAGCAGCAGCTCCGGAGCCAGCAGAGTGAAACCTGGGGCGGCTGCCAGCGTCCTGGGCGTTGAGGCACCTTACTGCTCGAAGCGAAGCTCCAGCGCCGAGCCTGGCCTCTACGTTAGTAATTAACCCGTTCTCTGCGTTACTTCCGTGGCACCTGTTCCTGAGCGATATTGTCAGAAACAGGTAAAATGAAGTTTCACGCCTCTAATCCACCTGGAATGCAGCAATTACCACTCGTTGGGCTGAATCCCGCATTCCTGGGGGATTACCGGCCCCTTTGCTCGCTCTGATTAGCATTTAGACTGCTGTAAGCTTACACGCCTAAACATGGATTTACATATGTGATTAAAATGCCCAAAACGCTTAGTCAGAGGGGCGGATTCTCCGAGTGTGCCTACAAGCAAAGTGACGCGTGCACGTTTTGTCTTGTCGAAGAGAGAAGCAGGAGCTTTAATGTGGGAGCGACTGGTTCTACTAAAGGTCTTTGAAGCTCTCGCCTGTAGAAAGCCAAATATACTGCAGCGCACGCCGACTCGGTGGGTTGAAACCTCAGAGGAGAAAATCAGGCGTGCGCTTCGTTTCCATTTCTTCTGCAAACAAGCATTGCAAGAAATCAACATCCACTTGTCTTGGCTGGAGTCAGCCACGAGGTCACGCAGGCGTCCCCGTAAAACTCATTTTAAAGCCTATTAAGTTCACCACATGAAAGTGGTTTGCAGCCAAATTTCCCAATTAAGTGGCTGTCCGCGTTAAGTGGCTCTAACTCTACCTGCTGCCTTTTGGAAGCGAGCATCGCTTCCTCAGATACATCTCCTGTGCTCGGGAAGGAGGAGCAGCTCCTGGTCTTGCGAAACAATGTTCTGCGTTTTGAAATAATTACTTAATATGGTGCTATGCCTAGCTCGGTGAGTTCTGCAGTGATTATCTTACAACTGAGCCCCATTCAGGCTTCAATTTTTATTAAATAAGCTAAATCGACAGCATTAAACAGTTGCCTGTTTATTCTTTTTAACAGGAAATGAATTTAAAAGAGACGCAGCCACCCGTGAAGAGCTGTTGAAAGCAACGATTGATGGGAGGGAGGAGGTGGTTTCTCACCAAAACCTTAAAAAAACAAACAAACTGTGCATAGAAAATAAAAAATAATCACTTTTAAAATAGGAGAAATTTAGCTATGAGCATTTCTCTCTCTTTTCCAACTGGTAAATCATGGTGTGCACAGGGAATGCAGTGAGGGAAAAAGAGAAATGAAAATGCGATCCCATAAATACTTGATTTTATAAGGAGAAATGAATGAACTTCAGGGCAGAAAGAGGGGTCTGGCGGTAGGAAAAGGGCCGTCTCAGAGGGCTGGTGGTAGGATGCGAGGCCTTTCACCCCCGGGCTGCTAGCAGAGATGTCCCTCGGGCCGGGGGAGCCTGCGGCCGCCCGGCGGGCACCGTAGCTCGCTGCTTCGCTCCGAGAAGTCCTCCTTCAGGTGTGCTCCTCGTGGCCCCATGGCACCAAGCGCTCGCCACGGCGCGGCCCTTCGCTCTTGGTGGCTTCAAGCCATTTCCTTGCCTGGACATCATTTGACATCAGCTACGACAATAGGTGCTACCTGAGGCAAAACGAAAAGGCCGGATGAAACTGGGAGTAAGTGGAGTTCACGAGGCTGCTCTGCCCTGGCGCCGGCTTTTAGGGTCCATGCTCCGTTCTTTAATGCGACTCTTTTTTAGGGTGTGCCAGCAGGCGAGGGGGCAAGGCAAGCAACCCTGAGCATTTTTTAATCTTCTTTTCTTCCTGTTGTTTAAGACACTCTGGTTTCTCATTTCTCCCAGCCTCCCTTCTTTCCCCTTACACCACGGGACAAGCTGCTGCTCCAGCGCTTTGTCTGAGAAAGCTTCCGATTTACCGTGAGCTCTTCTTTTCCCTGATCCTTATTGAAAAAGGTGAAGAGCCCTTCATTCGGCTGCTTCCCTTCCACAGAAACGATTGTGGCAGGGTGGCTTTTCCTTCTGTCAGATGTTGGTTTATTTACAAAGAAATAGATAGGCTTGAATTTGAATGAGAGCCTATTTACATCTGGTACAGTAGAGGAATTGTTTGGGAACTCCTCCTCCTTAGGCAAAGATAATATTGGAGTCTTTGCCAAGAAAGAGTCAGCTTTGAAATATTATTTTAACTGTGAGTAGGATTCAGCTTCAGTGGACGTTCACACTGCAGGACTGCGAATGGAGCGATGCCATCACTGCAGCATCCCCTGATCAGGTCCTCCCGGTCCCCCCTGCCCACCTGCAGCCTCCTCGGGAGCTCGTTTCGTCGCGGCAGCTCCCTGGCCACGCACAGGGATGTGTCCTGGCCGTGGCTGAGCCGGAGCTGAGGACGCCGGTGCTGGGGTGCAGCGTGTTACCTCGTTGCTGGTACCTCCTCCTCCCAGGAGCTCTCCGCTTCATTTCCAAAGAAAAACTATTAGTGTGAGTTTTTGCAGATACTGCCTATTTTCCTTTCCCTTTCATGGCCCATCTGCTTTGGCAAAGTTAGAATGATTCGGGGCTTGGGACCCCATTTCGTCGCCAGACATCCACGATCCCCAGCCCGGGCTTTGAGCTCCCCACCGCTCACAGCCTCTCTGCGTGGCACAGACCTTGCGGTCACTGCTGCGGGAGCGCGTAGCAGTCTCATGGAGCTCCAGGAGTCATACGAGCTCCGCTTGTCCAGCGGAGAGCTACGAGGATGGTGAGGGGACTGGAGCATCTCCCCTACGAGGAGAGGTTGAGGGAACTGGGCTTGTTCAGCCTGAAGAAGAG